AAAACACTGAAGGACCCGGAGAAAAATCCACGTGACCACGGGGAGAGAGAGACGTGCAAACTCCAAATATACAGCAGCAGGTTTCAGGGGTTGGGATCGAACCCACAAACTCCTGCATACCAGGCGAGGGAGTTAACATCTCCTAGCCACCGTGATGATGATGAGAGAGAGAGACGTGCAAACTCCAAATATACAGCAGCAGGTTTCAGGGATTGGGATCGAACCCACAAACTCCTGCATACCAGGCGAGGGAGTTGACATCTCCTAGCCACCGTGATGATGATGAGAGAAAGAGAGAGACGTGCAAACTCCAAATATACAGCAGCAAGTTTCAGGGGTTGGGATTGTATCCACAAACTCCTGCATACCAGGCGAGGGAGTTAACATCTCCTAGCCACCGTGATGATGATGAGAGAGAAAGAGACGTGCAAACTCCAAATATACAGCAGCAGGTTTCAGGGGTTGGGATCGAACCCACAAACTCCTGCATACCAGGCGAGGGAGTTAACATCTCCCCACCGTGGTGCACAGTCGGGTTATTTGTCTGTGCGTCAGATGTTTGACAGCCTTGACATGCGTTGACCACTGCTGACGAAAGCATTGCTTCTAAACCGCACAAAGAACCCCTATCTACGTACGCTTTTATACTATATATAGATATAGAACATTCAATCGTGACTACGTATGCGTTTGTGGTGGGGTGGAGGAGAGGTGTTGAACCTGAAATGTGTTCGATTCATGTTATAAAGCTGGTTATACTGATATTGTTCAACGTTAACCTCAGGGTTCGTGTCAGATATAGTGTGAGGGGTCCGGTACGTTAATGAGCTTTAAAATCAATTCTAATGGTGGGCCTTAGAGGAACCACTCGCTGTCATTGTTACTCACAAGACAAAGATCCCCCGTGAAGCCTCAACAGACTTTTGGGTCAAATGGTGTTAGCGAGCACCAATGAAGGCCGGCACGGCACACGAGGGCGTGGGTGGCCAGCACCACGCCCGATCACATTTGTCTCCCCAGTGGCGATGTTTACCACAAACCGCACCAGGTACTCAGTGCGCTAACGACTGCACTACCACTCCCCACTATGCCATACCACGTAAACGCACACGGGTTGCAGATAGTTAAACACGCACCCTACACATTCAGTACTCCCACTAACAACACTTGAACGAAACATTCACTGCAACGTTCAAACACATCGTGTCAGTGCTCTCTCCTAATGTTTATATATTGTATATATCTGTTCAGAACGACACGTATTTGGGGGTGGGGCGGAGGATACAAACGTTTGGTTAGCGCATGGCACCTTTAAAGTCTGCCACCTGAGTTTGACTCCCAGCAACGTCTCGCATCAGTGGAGGATGATATCAGGAACAGACCCCCGTCCGACCCCTCACGATCAGGGTTCGGCAAACAAAATAACAAGAAGCTCATTTTTTTACGTAATTCGGTAAAAAAAAAACAACAACTCGATATTGAAAGAGCCGCAATGCAATGCGGTGATCACGAGGCGGTGGCTCCTTAATAAATAATTGTCACGGAGCAGTCCTTCGACAAGAGTGGCACTTCGGCTGCACAGCCGCATGCTGCCGGCCCCTGCTAATGCCCAAACTGAACGAACTCGCGTGCTGGAGACTTCTCAAATAACCCCCACAAACGATATGGCGTAGATTGACTAAGGGTTGATATTTTAAAAAAAATATATTATTCTCATTCTCGTTAATTTGCGAGTGTTAGGATTTGTTCTGGGGACAGTGTCGCCTATCCTAATTTTAGAATTGAGCATGATCATTAAATAGCTGCTGGGTTTTCATCCTAATCAGAGGGTTGACTTATCAACACGTTACTCCCTTCAGGGTGACTCAGAAGTACCACGGAGTCAGAAGTCGTCAGAAGACTGGTTTCTATCACGTAAATATGGAATTACCATAACTACACTGCTGTACTATTTCAATGTTTCTGAATGAGATTTGTTTGCTAGTTTGTGGAGGGAGACACTGACGAATGGCAGTAATATAAGACACTTTTCTATGAGGGCCATGCATTTGGAATGTGTGGCCTATTCCTTCAGTTATCGTTTGTCTTCATGTGGGAGGACAGTGGAGTACCCGGAGACAATCCACCACGCATTTCAGCTTGGAACACTTAAACCGCAGCGCAAATAGATTAAAGAATGTGGTTACATTCCAGAATCCACTGCAGTATTGCCAGATCCTGACCATCCCTGACCGCACCTCTGATTAGCACGGTTGGCTATGTACGGTGCGAAATAAGTTCAACATGTATAAATACATCTGTATTCGGCTGTACCAGGTGGGTGTTATAGGTCCAAGCCTGCAACACCCGGTATTCCCAAGCAATCTCCTATCCCAGTACTAACCAGGCTCGAACTTGCTTAGCTTACGAGGCCTGCCCAGATCGGGTGCATTCAGGCTGATTTGGCCATGCGTACATCTTGACTTGAGCGACAAGCCTTGGGGAGCATGTGCTGGGTTTGTGTGTCATCTGCCAATATGTGGACAGACGGACCATCGAGGCTCCAGGGAGTGTGACCAGGGGACAGATCCTTCAAGGACGGCCAGGGCTTCCAAAGGGGTCTCGGCAGCCAAAGCTGTCTCTCCCAGCCCAGTAGCGAAGCCCTGTAATGAGACGGGGAACCAAGGTCAAAATCAAAGAGCTTCCCTGGCTCAAATGAGTGCTGGGGCAGTGCCTATTCGCTTTCTTAATTATGATGAGCCATCTTCTTTGGTTCTTTCGGTAAAGTCACGTAGAATGAGAATAAAATAATAAATTGATAAAATAAAATAACACAATAATATTCTCACGACGTTTCGGCCACAACACAAGCGGCCTTCATCAGGTGAAGGGGACGAGACTGTCTGGAGGACAGCGCTGGAGTGATCTCATTTTATTTTATCAATGTATTCTTTTATTCTCATTCTACGTGACTTTACCGAAAGAACCAAAGAAGATGACTCCTTGCAGTCACGAAAGCTTTAAATCGAAATATGATGAGCCAGTGGTGGAGATTCCACAACGGTGCGTACGTATGTTGAACTTCTTCCGCGCCGTTCGTAGTCGACCGTGCGAATCGGAGGTGCGGTACGGGTGGGGGGCATAGTCCACCTATAGGATAAGAACTGGTGAATTCACGTAAAGGGGTTATGTATGCACTGCGTTCACCGATCCAAACACTTATCCAGGCTCAGCCCGTTTAGCTGACGGGATAGGTCACATTCTATATGCTTTGGTCACAGACAAAACAAATTATACCATCTCCCTTTAAAACACATCCTGCTTCGAGCTACCACAACGATTTACTTGTAGTCTTTCAATTTTTAATTCTGTAGATGTGTACAGTACTCAGTGAATGAGAGCAATAATTAGCATCCCCATGTTTTTTTCCCCTTAAAGAGTTCTTCGAAATCCCCGTGTTGGACCTTATCTCGTGTGCTCTGAAGAAGGGCCGTTGCTCAAAACGTCGCCTATTATATATTTTTTCATTTTAAGGCCTCGGCGTTGCTGACAAATGAGTTGAGTTATGAGCAATTTAGTGATTCCGGGTTGGTAAACCCCAGTGACTACTGCGGTGAAGTATGGCCAAATACAAACACACCAGGAACCAGCAGTGGATAGACAAAGGGGCTGTACACGAACATACATTTAGACACCAAGTCGAGCACACGCATGTTAAAGATAAAGGCGCAGCCCTGGAGTTTCTTGCTGACGCCAGCTGCTGGCGGAAGGGACGTCAAAGGCAGTCTCTATATCCGCTTGTTAAACTTTTAGTAAATTTAGTAAATAGATTTTTAAAAAATGTATTTACAATATAATTATTTTCATGCTGAGTGTATGTCGCTGCTGTGTCCTGTACAGCGCTTTCAGATCCTTGGTGAAAAGCGCGAAATACATGGAACAATGATTATTTGGCCTGCTCTTCAACACTGACCTGATGTATTGAGAGAGGTGGGAGTCGTACCCACGCCTTACCCCGCAACAAAGCAACCTGCCAATCGACTGTAGTGTACAAGCCACAGCAGTACGAGTGTGGCCACGCAACACTAACTATGGGCAATAGCGTAAAACCACTGTAGTATGCGCTCCTTTGAAGTGCGCTCATTTTTGTTTATCTTACCAGGTAAGGCCCACTGAGCTACGTAGATCTTCTTCGGAAGGGACGTGGCCACAAGTGATAGCTCAACGAAGTGGCTCACTTCGTGGGAAATGTGTAGCAGGCCAAATACTCTAAACGCGTGGTGATGTCGATTCAAATGTGACGGGAAAAACGGGAGGACCCCCGGAGGCGAAGCCACGCGACCACGGGGAGAGAGAGAGAGAGACACCGCAAACTTCAAATATACAGCAGCAGCAGCAGGCGTCAGTGTCGGGAGCGAACCCCACGACCTCCTGTATACCAGGCGAGGTAGTTAACATCTCCTAGCCACCGTGATGATGATGAGAGAGAGAGACACCGCAAACTTCAAATATACAGCAGCAGCAGGCGTCAGGGTCACGATCGAACCCCACGACCTCCTGTATACCGGGCGAGGTAGTGAACATCTCCTAGCCACCGTGATGATGATGAGAGAGAGACACCGCAAACTCCAAATATACAGCAGCAGCAGCAGGCGTCCGGGTCACGATCGAACCCCACGACCTCCTGCACACCGGGCGAGGTAGTGAACATCTCCTAGCCACCGTGATGATGATGAGAGAGAGACACCGCAAACTCCAAATATACAGCAGCAGCAGCAGGCGTCAGGGTCACGATCGAACCCCACGACCTCCTGCACACCGGGCGAGGTAGTGAACATCTCGCCCTCGGCTGTCACCCCCCCCCCCCGAACGCGGCCGCGTGGCGTGACAGTGAAACTGGAGTCGCCGCTCGCCTCTCTGCATCTCACGTCGGCCCCCATGCGTAAGGGAAGTGAAGTCCATCGGTGGCGTTACCATTGCAGGCCGCCAGGGGCAGCGCGTAGCCCGCGGGAACCTCTCCGACGTCTCTCCGCCCCACCCCACTGCGCAGCGTAGGCAAGCACCAGTGACGTCGGCGGAGAGTGGCTGCGACTCGAGACACCCCGTGGACTCTCACCGTGCGGGGTTCACACAGAGAGCGACGGCGAGACGGGAGATAGCGGGGTCCGTGGCAGCGGTGCTGGTGGCGTTAAGATCTCTACCCCCACCACCACCACCACCCACCCACCTACTCACTCCTCTCCTGCGCCTTACTCATACAGCTCCATTGCTGCACGGTCGATCTTCGCCCGTCCGTGCGCCGCGCTGGTTGGGGTTTGTTTCGCGGCGGCGGTGATGAATTAACGAGGCTCGCGTCGGCTTGTCTCGTCTGCGAAGGCGGCGATAGCTGCGAGGGCGAAACCGACCGAGCGTTGCATTGCGAGCTGTTTAGGTTGTGGGTGGGTTGTTTTTCTTTCTTTCGGTTGCTAGATAAGAGCGCAGCATAGCGATACCTTTAAATATCCGCGCACGCACGCGCGCTACGTAAATTGTGGTTTTTTTCCCCCCCCTTCAAAATAAACCATGGGCTCCGATAATTGCATGAAAGGCTTTTGGAAGCGCAATTGGCTGCTGTTCAGCACCGTTGCCGCCGTGGTGTTGGGTGAGTATCTCTTTCATGGACGTCTTATTCTACGTTGTTTGTAATCTCATTCGATGTCGCCGCATCATTTAATGATCGTGCTGGTGGTGTTGTTGTTGTGTGTGTGGGGGGGGTTAACATACGCCTATGTGCGTGCGCTCGTGTGAAACAACACATTTTAATGCATCATCAGCACGCTACAGGAATAATGACCACCGTCTTTACCGCTAAACCTTGTGCCTCCACTACCACAACCAACAATATCTGTTAACTAGCAATGCTATCTATGACTGTACATTTATACACACTATACACCAATCACAACCACCACCCCAACACGAAATCTTCGCCGCCACCACGAACACAGCATCACCAACCACACATCTCTTAACGAGAAATGTTTCAGACATACAATGACATTGTACCAATCACAACCACCACCACCAAACCTACAACCACCACTACCACCACCGCAACCACACATTCTTAACGATAAATGTTTTAGCCATGTAATGACATTGTACCAATCACAACCACCACCAAACCTACAACCACCACTACCACCACCACCGCAACCACACATCTCTTAACGATAAATGTTTCAGACATACAATGACATTGTACCAATCACAACCACCACCAAACCTACAACCATCACTAACCACCACCGCAACCACATCTCTGAACGATCAATGCTATCTATGGCCATACATATCCACTCCACCCATCACAACCAACACCAAACATTCTTTAAGGCCACCAAATAACCAACAACGGCCGCATCTCCACCATCAACATTTCTCTTAAAAGGGGCACACTGCTTATCTGTGGCCTTACTCTGATAAGAACGCAATGGTTCTCGCAATGACACTGCGACGTCTTGGGTTGGGAGTGAGAGTTGTTGTTCGTAAGCATGTTCGGGCTGTCGCTTGTCCACTTGACCGTAATTCATTGTTGCAAGCGAGTTTGCCAATGAAATTCCGTCTCTGCTGACAATTGCACGATTCGCACGCGCGTCAGTGCACAGTACTACACAAGTGTCGGAGACACGCAACAGCTTACGCAGTGTGTACACATTGTGCTGTAGTGTGTGTGTGTTATGTTATTGTGGGCCTTGCTAGGATAAGATGATACAGAGGGCTGTAGCGAACTGTTCTGCCGCAGTCCAGTCTGTTGTGTAGAGGCCTGTTTGTGTGTCACTGTGTGTGTCACTGTGTGTGTGTGTGACTGTGTGTCTGTGTGTGACTGTGTATGTGTGACGGGCTATGTGTGTGTATGACTGTGTGTGTGTGACTGTGTGTGTGACGGACTATGTGTGTGTGTGACGGACTATGACTGTGTGTGTGTGTGACTGTGTGTGTGACGGACTATGTATGTGTATGACTGTATGTGTGTGTGTGACTGTGTGTGTGTGTGACTGTGTGTGTGACGGACTATGTGGGGCGCGATAGCGTAGCGGTTAGCGCGCTGAGCTATGAAACCGGCGACACGGGTTCGATTCTCGCTCACGGCCAACACCAGTGACGATTATCTTAACCGGTCCTGGGCCTCCCCTAGGTCGACTTAGCCTCAAATGAGTACCTGGTGCAGTGTGTAAACATTGCCAGTAGGGAGACAAAGGCGGTCGGGCGTGGTGCTGGCCATCCACCCCCTCGTGTACCGTTACCGGCCTTCATAGGTGCTCGCTAACAGCACTTGTTCCTAAAGTCTGTTAAGGCTATATGGGGGATCTTTGTCTTTGATGGACTGTGTGTGTGACGGCTATGTCTGTGTGTGTGACGGCTATGTCTGTGTGTGTGACGGCTATGTCTGTGTGTGTGACGGCTATGTCTGTGTGTGTGACAGGCTATGTCTGTGTGTGTGACGGCTATGTCTGTGTGTGTGACAGGCTATGTCTGTGTGTGTGACGGCTATGTCTGTGTGTGTGACAGGCTATGTGTGTGTGACGGGCAACTCTGTCCGATTGGCCTCTCCCCTCATGGCGTCTGTGACCACTACAGTGGCTACCACGAAACCACGACCTAAATATATAACTAATATATATTTATTGTGCCGGAGGCCCCGGAGGGACAGGCGTCTATGAGATTGAATCTCTACCCTCGGGGCTCCTCCAGAAACAACGAAAAGCCACTTCTTGTGGCCACGTGGAATGTTCGAACGCTCACTACGGAGGAGAGGCTGCTACTCCTCTGTCGGGAGCTGGACCGGTACCGCTTGGATCTCTGTGGCATTAAGGAGGTCCGGTGGACCAGTTCTGGCTCCTGCCACCATGAGGGGTGGACAGTCCTCTACTCGGGGCAGCAGACTGCCAGGGTGTGGCTCTTGTTTGGAACAAAAGAATGCAGGTGGCGGTGAGGTGTGGGAAGCTGTAAGCCCCAGGCTACTTTGGGCTCGCCTTCCCATCAACCGGAGGCGAGGAGTGGTGGTCGTGGTTACTTGCCCCCACCAAAGACGAACATCCGTGGAGGGATGCAGCCAAAGCCGATGAGTCAGATGCCTTTTATGACCTGCTGTCACAGGTGCTGGCTAAAGTGGCCCCTCGGGATAGAGTCATCTTGTTGGGTGACTTCAATGCCCGAGTTGGTCATGATGCTGGCACCTGGTCTGAAGTGATTGGAGGGCATGTGCCAGATCAGCTCAATAACAGCGGTAGGAGGCTGCTAGATTTTTGTGCAGCCCATGGGCTTCTAATTACCAACACACTGTTCCGGCATCGGCGCATCCACACATGCCGGGTACAAGCAAGAACATCTGCTGGACTACATAGTGACGGACCAGCGGATGCGAGCCCATGTCCTTGACATCAGGACCTACCGTGGAGCTGATCTGCCCTCTGACCATCGACTAGTCATCTGTAAGATGCCCCTGCCATTCTTCCGCTCCGGGGGTGGGTGTACACCCAGGACCCCATTCCAATCAAAAGTGGCCTGGTCTCAGTTATTTGATGAAAGTTGCAAGCGAGAATTTCATCATCGCCTGCGGTTGGGGTTGGCATCGTCCCCCACTCCTCCTGATGTCGAGGGTAAATGGGCGAGGTTTAGGACTGTGACTCATGCAGCTGCAATGGCTGTTTTGGGTACGCGGTCCAGACCTCCCCAGAGACCCTGGCTGACAGAGGAGGTATTCAGGATGGTTGAGAAAAAGCGACAGGCCCACTGTTATCGGCTACAGAATCCCACGTCAGAGAATGAGGAGGCTTACCGCAGCCTTCGCTCGGAGGTTCGGAGAGCCGTGAGGCGCTGCAAGGATGGGTGGTGGTCGCGGGTTGCTGAGGAGATGGAGTCTGCCTCAGTGACCCACGATCACAAATCTCTATTTAACTCCATCAAAAAAGTAACCTACAGCACCACACCTATTACCATCATTAGGGGAAAAAAACGGTGATCCAATCTCCGACCCCCAGGAACAGGTTTGCAGATTTGCTGAGCATTTCTGTGAGGTCCTGGGGGAGGGAAAATCCCTCAGCCAGGAAAACATCGTGGCACAAAGTGAGGATGACCCTGCTGAGGCTGCGGTGCCTCAAATATTGGAAGAAGTCACCCCCTGTGAATGGCTGGCTGAAGTGCCATCTGTTGAGGTACTGAAGGCGATCCGGAGTCTGAGACCAGGAAAGGCAGCGGGCAGAGATGATCTCCCAAGCTAAATGCTGAGGGAGGGTGGCGTTTGTGCACAGATTGCCCTATATGACACCATAAGAACAGTCTGGACCACTGGACGGGTTCCGCAGGATTGGAAGGATGCCCTGGTGGTCCCCCTCTTTAAGAAGGGGGACCGCACAGACTGTAACAACTACAGGGGTATCTCACTCCTCAGTGTGCCGGGAAAGGTCCTGGCAAGGATTATTCAACATCGCCTTGCCAGGCACGCTGAGGAGAGGCTTGCGGAGCCCCAATGCGGTTTCAGGAAAGGGCAGTCCTGCATAGATGCCATATTTTCTGTCCGTCTACTACAGCAGAGGTGTAGGGAATTCCAGCAAGACCTACATCTATGCTTTATTGACCTGGTCAAGGCCTATGATACCATCAGTAGGCCTGGGCTCTGGGTTGTTCTTCGTGCTTTTGGAGTACCTGACCCTCTGCTCACGATCATTAAGGACCTTCATGATGGTGAGCGGGCCCAGGTAAAACTACGTGGCCGGGAGTCCGAGCCATTCCCTGTACACCTTGAGGTGCGACAGGGATGTCCTCTGGCTCCCACATTATTTAACATCTATTTCGACCACATAGTTCATGAAGCCTTCAATAGCTGTACCGGGGGAATCTCCATATGGTACAGATATAATGGGAGGCTGATCGATGCCTGGGTGCGGTCAAGGGATGGCTCCCTATTGCTCAACCACGTTATGTATGCCGATGATTTGGTAGCTGCTCATTCAGAGGAGGAGTTGTAGACGCTGCTGCTGAGACTGGAGCGTGCCACTAAGAGATGGGGCCTTACCATCAGCCCCACTAAAACTAAGCACCTGCCTGGGTATTTTGTACCATCGGACACTCCACCCCCACAACTCCCAATCGGTGATGGGGCAGTTGTGGAGAGAGTGGAGAGTTTCCCATACCTCGGCAGTGTGCTTATGACCGGCTCCAGTTTAACAGCAGAGGTCTCACTCCGAATCAGTCGAGTGGCAATATCTTTTCATCAGTTGTGTAACGCTGTGTGGAAGCTACCTGGTCTGTCGCTCCGCACTAAGCTTCAGGTCTTCTCGGCCACGGTCATTCCCTCCTTTCTCTACGCTTGCGAAACGTGGACCCCTCTAATGGAACATCTTCGCCGGTTAGAAACATTTAAGCTGGCCTGCCTACGATCCATCCTGGGTTTAACCAGACTGGATTGTGTGAGGAGCTCACAAATCCTTGAAAGATCTGGGCAAGGTCCCATCGGTGAGCTCCTCTGGCGGGCAAGGCTGCGATGGCTGGGTCATGTAGCCCGTATGCCCAGCCACCGCATGCCGAAACAGCTTTTGTTCGGCCGGATTGAGGGGGCTAAACGGGCGCGGCACGGGCTAGAGAAGAGATGGAGTGATG